CACATCTCAGGGACATGGAACAACCTCCGAACAATCCGGACTACGCGTGGGAATAATGTATTAGAACAGAAGGCAGCAGAAAGGGGGGTGGTATTGGGGCATTCATTCATAAAAGTACAGACTGGCAAGGGGTCAAGCAGGAGTGCAAGGAACATTTATGGCTAAAAGGAAAAGCGGCAGGTCAAATAACACTCCTTGGTTTCGTGTACTTGTGGACGGGAGCAAAGGCCAGAGAGGAAAACCAGGCAATGGTAGAGTGTATATCAAAGGACATTCAGGAGTTAGGAAGAGAGTGCGAGATAATTATACTAGGAGACATGAATGCGCACATAGAAGATATAGATGGGTATACCGACCTGACAGGCAAAATGATGATGGATATGTGTGAAAGGCTTGATTTGATAATTTGCAACAGTACCGAGAAGTGTGAAGGGCAAATAACATGGGAGGTAGGATGGCTTCAGTCGATGATAGATTATGCGCTGATGTCACATAGGATGTATGATAAGCTCAGGGGAATGCACATAGATGAAGATGCCTCCAGAAGTCTGGGTAGTGATCACAAACGTGTCAAGCTAAGTTTTGGAAGAGCAGTGAAAGTGGGAAGGAGACAAGATGAGCAACTATAGGAAAATTTTTATCCAGAAAGGCAAATTGAAATAGCCACTAAACAAATTGAGAAAGTAATCACGGAGGATAATAAGACAGTGTGGACATACACGAATCTAATTAGACTCTTTGAGCTAGAGCTTGGTAAGACGCGTGACAAGTCACCCCGAAAAAGAAGACACAAACCCAAAAGTTGGTGGGATGAGGAAGTTAAGAGAGCCATAGCAAAACGTCAGGAAGCCTCTAGGGAACACAGACATGCTAAGCAGCGGGGTGAACCAACAGATGATGTTGAAAGAAAATGGGAAACCTTTCTAATCTGTAGAAGGGATGCATCCCTTCTGATCAATGAAAAAATTACAAGAAAGGGAGCTCAGTGGCTGGCAGAAGTACCTAAAAAAGATAGAAAGGCAGCTGCAAAATTTTGGAACCATCTAAACTCCCTAAGAAATGAGACGAGCCTAGAGCAGAGTTTTATAACTACAGCCCAAGGTGCTAGGCTAGAAGGGGACGAAGCTATTGAATATATAAGAACAAGGGTGACAGTAAAATTCCAACAAAGAAGTACTTTATGCACCACAATAGACAAGGACGAATCAAGTGGTGCAATGGCTCCATTTTCACAACGAGAGTGGGAAAGGGCTGAGAAAAGGGTTCCTAGTAGTACATCAACAGGCCCAGATGACATTTCATTTAGGCTGATAAAGACATTAGGTCCGAAGTCTAAGCAGGCTTTGAGAGAGGCAGTGAGCACAATAATAATCGATGGTGAAGTTCCCAATGGATGGAAACATAGCAGGATGAGCATGATCTATAAAGAAAAAGGAGGACAAAGCTGACATAAACAACTACCGTCCTACAACAGTGACATCAGTGGTCTACAGGCTGGCGATGCCGATTATAAAGGAAAGACTGCAGGCGTGGATAGAGGATGAAGGGGTGCTGGGGGAACTGCAGAATGGGTTTCGGAAACACAGGAGGTTGGAAGACAATCTGTACTCACTGACGCAGTGCATCGAAATAGCAGAAAAAGAACACAGACCCCTGTGGCTTGCATTTTTGAATATCAAGGGAGTGTACGATAGCGTGGTTCAAGGGTAATTGTGGGGAATACCGGACACACTAGGCGTGGAACATGTAGTCACTAATGTTTTAAAGGGTATCTATAAAAGTAACAAGGTAGTTATAAAGGGGCAAAAACAGGTATCCAAGCCTGCAGAGGTAAAACGGGGGCTTAGGCAGGGGTGCCCCCTGTCACCCTTATTATTCATGATGTACCTACAAGGATTAGAGGCAAAATTAGAGGGAAGTGGACTGGGCTTTAACCTCTCTTTAGTCAAACAAGGAAAACTTATTGATCAGGCACTACCAGCATTAATGTACGCTGATGATATAGTGATAATGGCCAACAACAAAGAAGATTTGCAGAGATTGATGGACATCTCCGGTAATGAGGGAGATAGGTTAGATTTTAGATTCAGTAAGGAAAAATCAGCAGTCATGATTTTCAATGACAACGAAGGTAGTGAGCTTAGAATACAGGAGGTCACACTAGAGATGACAGATAAATACAAATATCTGGGCATATGGATAAGCAATGGGACCGAGTATCTGAGGGAACACGAGATATACGTGACGACTAAAGGTAACAGGAATGCAGCAGTCATGAAAAATAGGGCACTATAAAATTACAATAGGTATGATGTGAGAGGAATATGGAAAGGGGTCATGGTTCCTGGGCTGACGTTCGGCAATGCAGTCTTGTGCATGAGATCAGAAGTTCAATCAAGATTAGAAATTAAGCAACGTGGAATAAGTAGGCTTGCTTTAGGAGCTCACGGGAATACACCAAATCAGGGTGTACAAGGTGATATGGGATGGACATCATTTGAGGGCAGGGAAGCTAGCAGCAAGATAAAATTTGAGAAGCGATTGAGAAAAATGGGGGAGAAGTGTTGGGCTAGGAAGGTTTTCAGCTACTTGTACATGAAGAATGTCGATACAAAATGGAGGAAGCGAACCAGGTAGTTGACTGGTAAATACTTAGAAAACAGCAGGTGGCCAAACCAAAAAGAACTATCGGTTAAGAAGAAAGTGAAGGAAACATAGACTGACATGTGGAGAATGGGCATGATTAAGAAGTCCGCACTAGAGATCTATCGAACTTTTAAGCAGGAAATTGCCAAGGAAAGGATCTATGATAATACTCGGGGTAGTTCTCTACTGTTTGAGGCCAGGATGGGAGTACTGCGGACCAAGACATATCGGGCCAAATACGAAGGGGTAGACACAGTATGCAGTGCATGTGGAGAGGAAGAAGAAACTGCCGAATACTTGATAATGTTCTGTAAAGGGCTTTACCCTATAGTTCAGGATGATGGCGCAGAGTTTTTTAAAGCACTGGGGTTTAGGGACCGGGAGGGCAAAATAGACTTTAAGCGGGTAGACTTAACTAGAAGGAGGTTATCTGATTGGTGGCTAAAGTCAAGGCACAAGTGCAAATTAAACTCTTCACTGCAAAGTACGAATTCTCAAACTCACTTTTAAGGAAAAAAAATAAATATATTTAGTTTTGTGTTCATTAAGTATTACGGCTTGGTGGCACTAGCCACCGCCCGATCTAAAGGGTACAGCCATATCCATCCATCCATTCATCGAGAGGAGGAAAGAGCCAAACGTTATCTGGACGCGCCTTTGGGTGGAATGTCCACACTTAAATTATTTTTTTGACAGCGTGCTTGTGGCTGCTTGTCCATCTGTGGCCAAGAGATACCTCCTGAAAGGCCCATTAATTTGTCGATAGCGTGACTTACATCATGTTATTTGAAGTATATGGGTGCTTCGAAACAATCGCACGCACCCTCGGTGCTATTTCTTAAGGTTCACCTCATGAATACAAAATAAACATGCTTGATACTTCAAATAAATATGTTCAGGGGGGTGAAATTTCGCCAGGCCATGTTTCATTGGATAGTGGCCTGGGAAGCTTTGACCCCCTTCCCCTGTATCTGTAATCTTCAAAAAAATCATTTTTAGCAACTTCATCATCAACTTCACTTGTGGAGTTTTTGGGGATACTAATAATAATTACTATAAATTGTGGGAGTAATGCATAAAGATTTTTAACATATTACGGCTGCATGGATATGTGCACGAATATTTCGACCCTCTCTCCGCGCAAATGCTCAGGCATGGTCTACGGGCACACAAGTAAACATTGACTTCACTTCAAATGATACAACCTTGTCGTCATTATGGCGCACACTTTTTGATTGCTCAATGAAATGTGGGGAGTTGTAGTGAGCTACGCGACAGTTCGCACAGCAGTGAGCGTGTGCAGTCCATAATTGTCTGGCTGTACTAGGACGTCGGGCTTGTGATATCCACCCGCACACTGTGCCACCTGGCTCATAGATAGCCTAAGGCCCATGCTAACACTTTTATTGTGATCAACAAGGCCATACGGGCCCGAAATGCCAATTTTTGTACGTTTTAATTTTTATCTTGGCGAGACTATGGTTATTGCACAAGTGGAAGCGCAGTCACACAAAGTGCCGTGCAGTCGCACGCCACAGAGTGCTCAATGAGATGACCCTAATAGTTATCGCACGCGGCATCACCTCTATAGAGACAGCGCAGTGTCACTGCGGACGACGATCTTTCCTTGTTCCGAGGCGGCGGACCTTTTATAGCACCGGCACGAGCGTAGGACCCATCACCTAGCGGCCTGCTCACGTCAAGGAGAAAACACCTTGATGCCTCAGGTGCAGTGTGGTGGCCACCACACTCTGTCAAAGACGTTTAAACGGGTGGTTTGGGTGGCACTGTCGCAAGTGGCTCGAGTCGTTTGATTGGCCAGCACAATTTGCAGCTGTTCCCCCATCTACGAATTTAGGGAAGAGAGACTCATTATGAGCAACCGTCGTGGGCTAGTTGAAGCTTTTCGACATGAGATCGCCATGGCATAGCAACATCATCTTCTTTTAATCATAAGACCTTTTTAATGTAAATAAACGCCTGTTATCTTTTCTCCATACAATCGCCTTCCTTCCAGCAATATGGGATAAAAAGGTCCCGTAAAGGAGGCCAGCTACCTGCGACGAGCTCGGCCGGACCCAAGCTGCAACAACTGGTAGTAGTGGTGAGGGGCTGTGTAATGATCACAGCAAAACCTAAACACTCTATCTTCAAGTTAGGTTCATTTAATATTTACCTAGTTTGTTTGTGCAGAAGTTTTGAGCCACTATTTACGCATTACTAATTTTACTAGGCACCTACACACTGCGTCGTCACTTGCGGTTGACAAGTGATACAGTGTTCATATAGCTTGATTTGTAGCAGTTTTGAGCCGATGTGGCTCTTCTAATGTACCTGAATATTAATACAGGCCACATACGATACTTGGACCGCAGCACTCAACGTAACGCTGAAGACGGACTCCACAGTGTTAAAGCTACTCCGCAGTGATACCTACTACCACCTGCGAGTCTTGGTCATCGATCGAGACGGCATGTACAGGGAGCAGGGCGCGAAATATACGCATTTCAGAACCGCGTGTGGAGGTAGGTAAAGTTTTTTTGTTACTTGTATTTTTGCCTTAAGTCATATTATTTACGTTCCAGAACCACTGCAACCCCCGCAAATGGTGGATATAAACAACAACAGCGTCAGCGAAATTATCATCAGTTGGAGGGTAAACTTCTTCTCTTCAATTTTATAAGTACATATGACTTTATCTATCATTATCTGAACGTATATTTAGTTGCCTAGTTTCACAGTCTGTGGAAAGTGAAAAATTGTTGCTATTATATGCGCTTAAAAGAAGTACCCTTCTTCTTTTTTAAAACTTTATTGTCCTTTTCTGACTCTTCTTTCATTTCTGACTTTCTACGTATAAGACTCTCTTTAAATTAGATGCAGTACCACTTTTCGGAGATTCTTATGCTCTCGTTGCCGTCTGCCAAGACTAAAAGCAAATTTAAATTGCTATAAAACAAAACAAAAAAAAAAACTCGGAGAACGCTTGAACTTCGCCTTCAAGGGTAGAACGCGATAGCGTAATAGGGATCAGTACTTATCGCCTTCAACCACGCTGCAAGTAAAATAACGTTTCTGCTGGTAACGTTGGCTGTTTCGCTTTATCCTGTAGTGACCGCTGCTAGTGAAGTCGTCTATTGACGTCATGCAACACCAAATTTGTTACTTATGAAACTAGAGAAACGACCATGAAGGCACTATGAGCGTAGCAAGTAGCCATGTTTTATATGACACGCACATCATGATTATCATGTTGGGATGTGTCACTTAACTTCAACGTTCATTAATGTGATTTACATAAGACGCATGCCACGTTAGGCTCTGTCACTTATGTTTGTCTTGCAATCAAGTCATACTATAAACATTTTACAATACATGTAGATAATGAAATCAGCGCAAGAGCAGCAAGTCCATGAAATGTAAATCATGACATTCATGACATACATGTCAAGATTTATGACTAGTCACGCTCGTCATACAGTCATGTGATGTCATACCACTTTTGGTATCGATACCTTTATCGAAATGGCCAGGAGAGCTAAAAATCATGGGCGGCTGAATAGATAGATAGATAGATAGATAGATAGATAGATAGTTAGATAGATAAATAGATAGATAGATAGATAGATGCTGAAAGTGCGTGCAGTACGCAGTAAAATGTTTCGTAAAAAAAAACCACATGGACATCTGATTCACTTTTTACCTACCCTTTACTTTCCCCTGACGGCACTCCAGAATTTCGCATTCGTTGCCCATGTTCATGTGGCTGCACGCCCCTTTGCCCCTCTACCCTACATACACAGACACCCAGATCTCCAAGGAGGTGCTCCAAGTCATTGGGCACACTGTGCTTTTTTAGAAAACCAGGTGCAATTGTCGCCGGCCCCGTCCTCAGCTATAGACGCCACTCTCGTGTTCTTCCCTCGGCTCTTCGCACCTTTATTATCCCATGCACAACTCATTTTATGTGCTGTGACATGCTCCCGTTAAAGGTTTCAGAAAGAGAGATTTTTTTCTCTCCGCCTGCTCAAACCGCTCGCGTCGTGTCAGTGTGGTGGCGTAAGGTGGCCGGCACGTCTGATGTTGTGCTGCTAATGCTTTCTTGCCGGAAATTCGTTAAACTTGAAGAGTAGGCTGCTCCTACAGAGTTTCAAAAGGTTAATTTCGCCTGGAAACTTGTACAATAGTTTTAAACTGTATACAAGAGCAAAAGTTCAGGTTCAGAAGTGTTCATATTAGCATTGATGTTGAATATAGGCATTTATGGGCCTTCACGAGAATTTGGGCATGAACACCCATAACACGCATTTGTAGGCACTATAACACACTCTAAAAGCCCTCCTTAACATTTAATTCGGGTTCATATATGAAAGTGTTACGATAAAAAACACAAAACACAATGTAGACATTTGCCTGAAATGCGGTCTCTAACATAACCCTCTTTTGATATATTTTTTTACTTGGAGTGCACTACGCCACAGTTCTTTTTGCGAATTGGCGAAGTATCTGCTGTGCTTCTGTATAAGCTGCCACGGGCGTCTGCCTAGTGGCACATTTTATGATGGCTGGCAGCGTTAGACTGGTTAAACCACCAGCCATTGTGCAGTGAACACATGTTCATTCCCGAGGCGATTCTACAGTTCGGTCGAGAGACATTACCCGCATTAAGGAAGGTCGACTCTCTAATGAGGTGTCGTAACTATAAGTTTTACGACAAAAAAAGCACTGACTCCCACTCCAGTACTAAGACATAGACCAACTGTTTGCCGTACACAACACCTAGCTGTAATCGGCACACGGATGAAACATTTTATTAATTAGTTATGTGCATCTTTGTCAAATTATAGTTCATATAAACCCTTGTTTTTCGTACACCATCGTCGGTCGCATTGACTCCAGCCCCGGAATTTCTGTGAAACGAGCCCATTCAATCTATCCCGTGGATGATCATATCTGTAGAATTTCAGGACTCATCGGAATAAGTAAATAATGCTCTCTTCTATTTTTCTTAACTTGTGTGGTATTCGTAAGTGCAATATCGGGTCTGTGTCCAATTTCTTCACTTGTTGTTAAATCACAAGCGAATGTTTTGAAGCATCAAAAGTTTAGACCAATATATAAATCTTTTACCGTTCATTACTCATGTCCCTAAAGTTATTCAGTATGGCAGAGGGTTCTTCATTGCCACCTGCGGGACACCGCAGAGCGTCAGATTGCGCTTTGAAGCGCAGCCGACGCCGCTTCCGTAGGAGAGGAGAAGCTGCATGCCTGCAGTTCCGTACTTTGACCGATACGGCCCATTCGCCCGTGTTCTCAACTTTCTCTTTTGAAACGCTTGGGCAGATGCTTGATAGCTCCGTTCGTGTGCAGCTTTCCTCGCACATATTTTCTTGAAGAACTAGGCCACACCAAGGCCACTTCTCGAGCTGCTCTGCCCGTGTTTACAAAATGAGCGAGGTGCCACCCTTTCTTCGTATGATATACGAGTGTATGGCAATTGAAATCATTGCTTAGGTCTTAGGGCAAAACTGCCCTTTCTTTTTCAACTCTTGGTCTGTTTTCTTTCCAATCACAGAACCCTGACCACGAGAGCTGGCAGTGCTGGAGTGTGAATGTAGTACTCGAAGTCAATAATACACTGGTGGAGTTCAATTTGACGAAGTCTCTCCCGTGGCACACAAATTGGTACAGGATACAAACGGCTCCGTACACGCCAGTGACCATCCGACTGCGCCTAAGAACACCGAACAACAAATATAGTCCGTGGACCAAGACGTGGAACGTGACATCAGCTGAAGATGGTAAGTATTATAAAAAGCTTTTAGGGCTGTATATAACTACAACTCACAGCAATCTAAGCATGAGTTCAAGTTGCTTGTGATTTATGTGAGAAAGCAATGCTGTACAAGCCATAAACATAAACATATTTTCACTCATGGCAAGACAGGGGCCATATTATCAAACATCTGAACAATTGAGAGCATATAATTATTTACGTCTAATTACCGGGAAATGCGGCTTTTCTGATGTATTTATTAAAGCAAGTTGTGGTTGGCAATTTGAATTCTTAATTTTTTCCTATTGAAGTGAACCGTACACCATTGAGATTATCATTTCTTATTTGACAGATTATGCACGGAGTCTGTATAAATGTCATCACAGTTCAGAAGCATGGAAGCATTAATGCAGAAATGACAAGAAAAATTTTCAGAGGGCTTGCTATTGCTATGATTGCAAAATACTACTGAGGTGCTTTAACAATGTTAATAATGACTTATGCTCTTTCTTACATTATGGGCTAATTCAAAGTATATTTCAGCGGTGTGCCCACGCATTAAATTGAACAGTATCAGTTCCTTGCTGTCACTTTCAAAGCTCCTTTGAAACAACTCCAATGTAGGTGTACCTCCATTTTGTAAGCCAGGCATTTTTCGTAACAAATCAGGAAAACGTCGTTTGCCAGTTCCAGTTATCAGAACTAATACTTGGCGCAATATTGTTTCCGATAGTGTGTCTACGTGGGTGTTCTGCCTCTGTGCATCTTAAAGTCGTTCTTCAGTTATCTTTACGCAATATTTCCCATCTCTGACACTGGTGGCTAAGAATTGAACTTTTGAGAGAAGTTTCTCTTCCTGATTTTTTTATTCGACTGCACCAGTATACATCTAATCTTTATGAAGCACTTCTCTATTGCGGCTGAGGTGCTGAATTGCAGTGTTTTTGAAAAGCCCGAAAGAACTCGTGATGGTGGGTATAGTGAATTATATAAGGTGTATATTATTTAAAAAAAAATAGAGACCCCTGAGACATGAGTCACTGTTGATAGGGGGTAATACATGAAATACCTCAGACTGAATTTGTTATTGTGCACTAAAATGTGGTAAAAACATTTGGTACCTTAAGGAAGATTGATAAATTCTCGCTGGGAAAGCACCTTAAGTTTCTCATAATGCCTGATTGCCAGCGTCATCTTCAATGACCAGCTATATAAAAGACATGGAGGCCGAGCGCTCTGCTTTTGCAAAAAGGCAACCAGTCATTCTGTGTCGAACTGAAAAAATGAAATGAGCATTAACGAGTGCATGCACAAATAAACATATTTCTGTGTCTAGAAATGCCTGACACCTTGCTACTTAGTTCACTGTTGGTTGGAATCTAAAAGTGAACTCATGAAAGCATGCGCGTGATTTAATTTTTTTTTCTGGCTCACAGAGCCCTATGACGCACATCACCATGCAACGTACCCCCGTTTCGTGGAAAGCAACACAGCATTCTTACGGCTACATGCACCCACAACTTTTCTCTCATGATTCACGATAAGCGCAAGAGATGCACACGCACGTGCGTGCCTGATTCAGAGTCGTAGCTAAGTAAAAATTAACACGAGCAAAAGTTTCTCTGCACGAAAATTTTATTATTTCATCGCTGCCTCCTTACACAAGTTTTCTGCTATCGTCAGACGGCGCACGTTCGCGGGGGTGAAAATCTACAGTGATTAACTGAGTTCTGCAGCTTCTGATAATTATTCAATCATAATAAAAAAAATGTGGTGCCGACCAGGCTCTGCGCCCTTAAATGAGCGTGCTTCCAGGTCTTGCTTAGTGTGATCATAATAGCAGATTCATGCATCAGTAAAAATAGCAGCATTAAAAGCTTAAATCATAACTTCTTGGTATCAAATGTAGCGCCTAAGGATACTACACAAAAGAAGGAGGATACAAAACAAGCAAAAAAAAATAAACAGCGCTTGTCCTGTGGTCTGCTCCTTCTGCCTGTCGTCTTTATGCTGTGCATGCACTTCACACCATAAGGCTAAACCTTTTCACCCAGTTTTGTGCGCTGTGACATTTCGTAGCAGCTGTTCTAAAACGAATCATTTTTCGAAGCTCTCTCTGCTTCCCTCTGTAGCACAAAACAACTGAGAACACGAAGCGACAGTGGCTATGGACCCATTCTACAGACGGAATATATGAGCAAGGAATCCCGTGAGCTAAAGTCGACAGCATCAGACAGAAACCCGTGGGGTCGGGAACACACATGATGAAAACTAACATGGACAGCTGTGGAGGGAGGTGGGGCGTGGCACAGACTGTGTTAAAAGCTACCTGGATGAAAGAAGTATCATTTAGAATATACCCAAGTGGCACTTGTATGATGTAAGAAAGATAATTTCGTCGAACGCACTGGCCGATCATGCTAAAGCACTTAGCCAAGAAATAGACCGCATTATCGTAAATACAACGAAAAGAGATAAAACAGCGGCGCATAACCTTGAACGTAACCCGCCTCACTTTGAATTTTTTTTCATTCTATATTCACCATAGAAGATTGATAAGAACTTACAGAAGAGTGGAAATTAATTTATCAATATACACCAACTCTAAAAGTAACCATTAAAGGTGTCACCCATCTAATAAATAACTTAAAGCTAACCTCACCTTGTGGCATCAATAATGCAATAATTCGAAAATCCTGGTAAACACAGTCACAGTCTCCGGTCATATTCTGACACATATCTTCATACAGTCCTTAGGGACAGACATGCCTCCCTTAGATTTAGAGAGAAGTAAAGTTACACCAACATTTAAGTCAGGTAACACTCACAAACAAACTACCACACAATAACAGTCATCTACTCAAAATACTGCAACATATAATAGCATCCGAGGTTTACAGCCTTATGGTGGATAAATTTTTCTCCACTACTGAGCTCAGATTACGATGTAAATGCTCATGCCAGATGCAAATATTCCAACTGACAACCGACCTGCACACCAACATGGAAGAATATCTGCAAACTGATTGTGCTTTTAATCTCGTTGCATATTGCCACTTAATTATTAAATCATCAGCTCTCTAATTAAACTCTTTCACACAAACGTGGATTACATTTTTTTAGATGCAACGCAGCTGTTTGACTAGCCTGTGTAGCGCTATCCCTCCATACGAACGCGCCGTGCACTGCAGGTGTTGGCACGGTGCCAAGGAGGTCACACCGCTGCGGCGCGTGGACGTCACGCTTCCCTCACAGTACGCGTTGATGTCACTCTCTCTTCACCTGCGACGCGCTCACCACGCTTCCCGCAACACCTGCTGTGACCGCCGCTCGCTGCGCTTTTGACTCGTCGGCTCAGTCGGCTCACACGCACTAAGCCTAGCGCGCGCACAACGTGCGCATTGAAACATGTCTGTACGCTACACCTATAAGACCTAAGCCAGCCATCACTTCAAAGGAATCTTCCAACGCTCACCGTAGCACCAGCGTTAGCACCCGTAACGCCACCCGTGCATGACCTTGCTGCTTCGCTTGCCATCATGATTTCCTTCAGGAGAATAGCCCAAGCTTTTTATCCTCAAGTTGCGAAACATAGCCACAAAATATAGCTGAACCGTAAAGCCATTTACGAAATCCTTACCAATGTTTGCCAACGCAAAATGGTGAAATAATTTTCGCTTTGTGGATTTATGCAGATTCTCTCCCATCAAAACATGAGCTAAAATATGCACAACTTTTGTTCTCCTTGTGTGCTTTCTCAAATTATTTTAGCAGTGTCAGTTAGTGGGCAGCATATGATGGCAAGCAAAAAGAATGACAAAAAAAATATTGCACAATTGTCAAGACTGACAGTAGTTAAAATTAGGGGGACTCGTAAGCTTCGCCTTTAAAAGTGGAACGCAATAGACATATCTTGTACCTAGGGTGCGCTTTCAAACACTTAGTGCATGAAATGTTTTCGAACTTGCTATGCACCCGCCACGTCGCCTTATAGGGGAATGTGCGCAGTAACGTGTGTGCCCTTTGTAGCGAATGACTGGCCTTAAACTATGGAGTCATTTTATTAACCATGTTCTGACGCCGGATGGCAATTCACGCATGTACCACGCATTAATACTGCAATAGTTTATGTTGTATTATAAATCATATATTTCAGGACGCATGTATTTGTAAAGCACGAAAGTCGCTTTCACTACATTTCCAAGCAGAGGGTGGTATTGTCGCTGTATTCACAAGCATACGCAAGGCTGTGTGGTATAACAACTGCTTTCCACACAGACAACCCAGGTTTCATCCTCACACGAACCCATAATTTTCATTTTCTTTACATCTTTCTCGATTTGTCTGTAACGCACAAGATCATGATTTTTCGCTCAGAACCAATGACACCAATGCCGACATCGACGTCGGACTTTCTGCGAAATGAGCTCTTTAAGGCTATCGATTTACTAATCATATCGCAAGGAAGTGTTCTTGGACCGTTACTACTTCTAATGTACAAAAATGTCTTACCAGGTAATATTTACCCACACGTGCTTTTTTCTCAATGACTGCGTTAATTACCATCCTATTAAAGTAATTACGATCATTATGTCCCCCAGAAAGACCTTGAACCTGTTTCCCTTTGGTGTGACACTTGGCTAATGAAGAATAACATTGATGGATGTAAAATCAATAGCTCTAGCTGGTAGCTTACTACATATACCTTTTTGTACCATATAAATAACACGAATATCGTGCATTACACACAATATAACTAGCTTGAGCTCATCCAACTTTTGCTCTTTATTGGTCAACTCATATTGATTGCAATTGCCGCAATGCTTCAAGATAATTGACCTGCATACATCGCAAGATATACCATTCTACTAAAGATATTCATAAACTAGCTTATCTAACAATTGTAAAAGCTGAGCTTAAGTATGGAGCATTCATTTCGTATTCTTATCGAAAATATTGAATTGAAAAACTATAATTTTTAAGTAGTGCATCTACGTGTTTCATTTCACGTCATCACTATTGTAACGAAAGCTTGATGATTGATTTAATTGATTTGTGGGGTTTAACGTCCCAACACCACCATATGAACATATATTGTAACAAAAGCCTTACGCAAATCAAACTTGGCTTGCCTCTTCATCCTTTGCACAAACATTGGCATATAACCCTGCTATCATTGTTTCATAAATACATATAGATACCTTCATCATAGCAGTTTGATACTTCACCATATATAGGTCACAATGTTTGCATAATTAGCTTAATTTTAAGCACATTTACGAAAAAGCTCATTCATTTAACTTTTCCACTCTTCAAGATAACCTTGGGAATAACCTTTCTAACGCCGCTGATTTCGAGAATAACCAAAAAAAAGCTTCAGGCATCGATTAAACGCACAGTTCCAAAAATGACGTTTCATACCACTACTATTTCCTAGTTTTTTTTCATAGCCTTCATTGGCATTTGTATGAAATTTTACGTTACACATTTTTTTTTTGCATTAGCAACCTTAGGTCATGTTCATTCTGTAATTACATAGTTTGCAAATAACTGTGTCAAAACTTAGTGTGTAAATTATCTGTCTTGATTCAAAGTGTATTTTTTCTCTACCTCTATTTGCTGTATAGCACATAATACAAGCAGATCTGATAATGCGCTCCCACTTCTATTACAGTAACATTTTTAAGTTGTTCTCATATACTTCTTTGTCTTGTTCTACCCTATACATGTTTAAAAATTCTATATGGTATTGCCCCCCTTCCACAATGCTTCTAGGGGCCCATAAGGTAGTTTTATTTGATTAAACAAACAATAGGTACAGATAGCTAGAATTACTAGAGTTTAAAGCGTACACGCGAAATGCCATGAAGAGGTTTCACTAAATTATTTTGAGTTTCCTTATCGGTGTGGTAGGACTTTTACAAGCGTCATCAAACGATGGTTGCAAGTAGAACACTACAAGAGAACACCCAGTGCACTATAGTATTCCCTGTATGCTTTCCTTTAAGCCCTTTCGTCCCTCACCTTTCGTTCTGCCAGTCAGAGAAAATAACAGTTATAGCAATACAACAATGCAAATTGTATCATTCGCTACATTGAGCTGTTTTAGCAAGGTCTTAGTCAGATACAACATTCAAATGAGTGCGGTGCCTGATAAAGGTGAGTCTGTCTAACAATGGTAGAGTCTTAGTTGTCTGCATCTTTGTTCAGTGTTACGCAGGTCACGTGACAAGAGAGAGGAGAGAATGAAGCAATAAATAAAACTAAAGCACAATGATGCTCGAAATTATGATTTGCTGGTAAATTATAATAAGAATTGTGATTATGCTATATAGTGATGTTGATGGTGTTTGAGATGATGGTGATGCTAAATGATCGTGATTATACTCGAAACAAGACTAAGCTTTTGTTCTAGCCTACCCTCATTTACGCTCTCGCGCTAAAGCGTGGCCATCCAACGGTTCTGTTAGCGCCCTGTTATCTTTTTTCATTCGTTCTTGTGCCTTCGCACGTGCATCGTGACATTTCTGTCTCTCTTCCATGCAGCTCCTGGCGAGGTGGTCAACGTAAAGCTCCTTCAAAGTGGCCCTCGCAACGTCACTGTCTCTTGGAGTCCACCCGAACAAAAGCACGGCATCATCCGGGCCTATCGCGTCGTCTACAGGCCCCTCGCGTCCCGTATACGCAGCTGTAACGCACTCAACCAACTGGACACGACAATCCTGGCGTCGCCGATGCACCACAGACTGGACTTGATGCCGCTGCGTCCATACACCAACTATTTTTTATCCGTGGCAGCCCTCACGGTCAAGTACGGCCCAGAGATGAATGCAACGTTCGACACAGAGCAAGATAGTGAGTTGGCTTCAATCTGACAGGCATGGCGCACCATTCTAGCACCCTCTGGCTGTGCTTTGTTAAATTTCGCAAAAGGAGAAAGCTGAAGAAATTTATCCCTGCATTAAGGTTGGTACTCTTTGAAGCAGATAGGAATGGGAGGTCTCCCTAAAGCTTTGGTCTGTAATACCGCCTTCTGTACGTTCATTTGTATATCACGTTTCGTAACTATGTAAACCATGTCTATGATTCTGGTAATTTAAACTGTGAGGCCAGAAGCCGTGGTGCCATGCAACCAGTACTATAACTATGTTTCATCCACGATTATCCTTCTTTTTTGTCTTCGATTGAATAGGGCTTTTTACGCCAGATGGGCTATTACTAACAGGCTACGTAGAATTTGTCAGGGCATTTTACAGGTTGTGAACAGTTGATACATGAAAAAAGGACAGCGTGGTATTACTCTTTTTTTTGTGCAACTGATTGCTTCAACTGAAAAACGTTTTATTTTAATTAATTTAAGAGAAAAAAAAAATTGACTGTAACATTTTCTCTATTTGTCGTAAGTGTGTTTATTAATTTAATTTGCTGCCACAAAAACGTGCTCAGGAAACAGTCATTTGATACCTTTAATGCAGTTCCAGAAGGAGTGCCAACTCAATTGCACTATGCAAATATTTCACGGAGCTTGGACACGCTAACGTGGGCTGAGGTACCCTGCGGACTACGTAATGGGCCCATCACATCGTACTATGTGGAAATCGACAGCGTTGACCATTGGGAGAACAAGCTGCGACAAACAACGGTTAACTCGACTTCGATAACCTACCGGGATCTGCTTCCTATGTTGGGACGGGCGCGCTGAGAATAACTGACGTATCGGGGGCTCTATGGATGGCACAAAGCTGGTGCCATTTGTTGGAGTTTCTGATGGTAGTGCGCCTTTTGACAGGCTCGCCTTGATTATTACCCAGTAACGACTGTCATTGCAAAAGCATGTGCTGTAAGCTAGCTGGCAATCCACAATGACGATACAAGCTTCGAGAAATGTTTTATGAAACAAAACATTTCAACATGAATCATTTTTGTAGGATTCTAAGCCTCACCTGGGCTCTGTGTAGTTTTCTGTAAAAATGGGGTACAACGCTGCTGCCAAGGTAGAAGTGCTGTGAAATCTCATCTTTTCTGAATAATTAATGTCCGTTGTCCTGCGCCGTAAGCTGGGGCGAACCTCCGCAGACGCGGATCCCCAGGCCTAGCGTCGGAGTGGGTCAGCTTGTGGAGGTTTGTGGGGGCTCTTTCAAAATATCCCATGCCAGATGTCAACAACATTAAGATGTGAATAATGATGTCTTGTGCACTGAGGATACGGTGCTGTTCCTGGGAGATTGCGCCAATGATGAAAGCATGAATGGCTGTCTGGGAGTGATTGAATAGATTCGCCTCTTTTGATTGAGGAGAACGGTGGAGATGGCCACCTGCTCGGCAGCGCTCGAGGAAGCACATTCGATTCACAGTCGGCCATGCTGTGCCTGACGACGATGAATACTTATGGCTGATACTTTTTTCAATAGGTTAAAAGCTTTAAACAACTATCCATTGGGCAATTCACTTTGTGTGACGCCTGGTACTTATTTGGCTCGTTACACTCTGTGCTAAACATGTTAAAGTGATTGTTTATTCTACACTGTAAAACAGTTTGTGTCCTTGAAAGAATTTCAGGAAGTCAAGCACACTTTACCAATTCAAAATTTGCAAAAAGTAGGTTTAGCGTGCTAAGTTTCATTGCGCAACAAGACATGAACCTAAACAAGAGTGGATGACGCACAGAGGGCAAACTATCAACAAAAGTTCATGCTCTGTGTGTCGTTGTCTCTTCTTTTAGTCCTTGTCTTGTTTGTGGAATCTAAACTTGGCATCGTAAATCACAAAGCCCAATTGTCAGCCATTCTGGAGTAAATATGCTTTCATTTTTCAAGTAGACTTCAAGGGGCTATGTTCTAACTAAAACTCTCTTTGTGAGCCGCCTGACTTGCCAGGAGATACTAAGTGCACGTTCAATCTGCGTCATTTGGTTGGTTAGTTGGTTCTTCCAAATGTTGGCGAAACCCACTCCGGGGGCTAAGATCATTCACTGTACATGCCTTGCCAATTAAACTAATTCATTTACTGAGGGAAACGGTTGAAAGTGATCTTATCAGGCCTACAGAGTTTTAATATCGTGCCTAACAAAGAAAACGAGCCTTTAAATGTAGACTTCTTTCCATATTCAGGAGTCAACAGTGTTTGGGTAATCGAAACGCCAATGGCCCATACCACAGCATGACAGATAATTACTGGCACTCTCTAGTTAAAGATCGTTTCGATCTTCAGCAAGCTTTATATATGTGTCTGTTTTCCGACAACCTTCAAGCACGCTGTAAATTCACGCTTATTTTTCTAATACAGAATGCTAGTTTATATGAAAACAAATATCCCCACTGGCAAGATTGCCGAATCAAGATACTATATGGTTTTATATACCAGATGGTCAGAGGAACGCTATTAAGTCACAACACTTTGTCCATGGCGTGTTTTACAATACGCTGTCTTGTGCATATTATTTGGTGCCAATTAATCCAGACTTGCACGTTCTTTGAGCGGTAAACTTTATTTTTCTCGCTTTTTTTTCAGCCAATCGAAACACCCCATAATAAGCATGCTAGGCAAATGGCAACAATCGTTGGTGTGGGTGTTGGGATGCGTGTAAAAATGTTTTTGTAGGGTTGTAAGAGTGTTGGTTTTAGACACTGCAAAACGTCCTTAAATATCCAAACAGGTTCACCGCATACATCACGCCTGCATATTGTATTTCTGCTATGAAGTATCGAGCCCCAGCGTGCCTTTGTGGTAGAATACTTCGTTGCCACGAAAAGCCTGTAATTCCATCTGGTCCTGTGTATATTTTTTGTCAAGTCGTGCTATGATGGTTAAAATGACTGTCTACCGTCCTTCATTGCTCTACTGTTTTGTGTCGCAATTGGAAGCGTACTATGTAAAGTGTCTAATGTTGCAGCGGTTTCTCTGGAAAGTGCATAAAAAAATTTTAAACACAATTTTTCTGTCCACGTTATGTCTCCTTTCATTGGTGGGATGAATGCCCACAACACTGGTCGGTGCCGATGAAAGTTAGAAACTGAAAACGCTTGCGGTTTTTGCAGGCTTCATCAAGTTTGGTTATTAATAAAAAAAATAACTCAGTGGTCGCTTTAGGCACGCACACACGTTTTTGCTGTTCTCATGAGCGGCGGCTGACGCCGTGGTGGCATTTCTTCACCATTTGCAGGCAGGCACTCGAACACACCGCTGCCAGCGCCACTAGGGCACCTATTTGAACGTTTGAGAAAAACAAAACAAAAATTGGTCTCTGGCGCAACGCAAAGCTGCCTCAAATGAAGAAAATACGATTTCAGGGTAAACATGTTTGTTTTCAAACGAAATAAGTCTACCTGCGAAGTTTTTTGTCCTAGCAATAATTTGTCAAGATTGACCAGGTTCGCTGTTGGGTGGCGCTAGTGGTCACATTTCATTGACTTCCAGCATCAAGTTAAAATTATATTTCTCTTTTTTTTCTGCCACGAAAGCATGCTCGTAGCCACCGACGTGATGAACGATCTTTTCACTTGCGCCACAATCAGAAAAATTTTTTCGAGCAGTAAACAGTCCCTTTAAAGGCCAACTCTGGTGATTTTTTAGGTAAATGAATCCCTCAAGAACGGACGCTGTGATACAGAACTGGCCCGCAGTCTCACACTGACTGAGGGAAACACACCAAAGACACGACGCACCAGACTACATGAGCCCTTTCACTACAACTACAGCCTCCACCCTGACCACATCGACCCGAAGCTTCGCTTATCTATCGCATTTAGCTGGGAGTCGCTTTCGTCAAAGCATATACCTCATTAATCGGAATGACTGACAGTGCGGTATGTGATGTTTGTGACATGAACGAAAATATTGAACACCTCCTGTGTCACTGTCATCGATTCGCCTCAGAGAGACAAGTACTTGCTAACGCATTGCGATCCACCACCTTCCGTGCTGGTGCTGTTACAGTACCATTCACATTACTCGACAGTCCACAAGGCAGTCAAAGCCTTGTGGACGGCGGGTTTGTTGGGGCGCCCTCTGACTTTAAGTTGAGTTATACACGCTGCAGTGAATTTGCTGTCTGTCTCTACCTTTTTCTTTTCCTTCTCTTCCCTCTTTTCTCTTTCTCATCTTCCTCGCCCCCTTCCTTAATCCCCCAGTGTAGGGTAGCCAGTCTTCCTGGTTAACCTACCGGCCTTTTCCCTTTCTGTTTGATTCCTTCCTGTTCTTCCACCATTCTTTTCAATATAATAACTTGAAAAACGCACATGCCTTTAATGGCGAATAAATAAGAATTTGAATAGGGGTTCACCTAATCTATTTTGCTTAGCATGTGAAGTGTTGCTGAGTGCATTTTTTTCTTTTTTTCGGAATATTGTCGTCATGAGTGCCCGTAAATCTCTTTAACTCAGCTCCGCGCGCTCCTGGAGGTCTGGACTACGATCTGATTTCTCAAGACAGCATATTGCTCACGTGGGAAGCTCCCTATCCTCCAGCCGGTGTTCTGGAACACTACCAGCTGCAATACTGGAAGGCAAAAACAAGTTACCAACCTATTCGGATATTGATCAACAACACCATGTGCTCTGCAAGGGACCATGAAATGCAACCATGTTTCACGGTGCGCGGACTAGAGGAAAACATGATGTATAACTTCATGGTAAGCTTTTGCAGTACTGATATTCTAGATAAGACACCTCGACATAATTATTGTTTTGGATAGCGTACATTCCAAGTGGCTCAGACAATACTCTGAAACTTTCCTAGCACATGATCATCCGTGTGGAAATAAGCCTGTTTTGCCATTTCATTGCACGCATTTCAAGTTAGTTGAGCGAGGTATCGCCAAATCTTGTTTCTTCAATGCTTTGCGTAACTCCTGTGTCCCCAAGATAGCTGAAAGCTTTGTTGAGTAATCGTCAGGGTTGATAAAAGCTGATCACCTCGACCACGTGCAAGTATCTGTTGCTCCGTGAACTTCAGGCAAAAGTGAACGCTAGCGTAGTACAACATGTCTCAGCGAAACAAGCTGTTGCCGTAATCAAGTATATGCACATGATTGGGCACTAACTGAGGAAAGTGGCACAGCGTGTTAATGTGAGCGTGGTCTTTACGGCTCCTAAAAAATTGAATCGCCTGTGAAGACTGTCCGTTCCACCACCAAGACCCACAGTCAGATGCTATAAATTTATACACTGCATTTGTAATGTGATGTGTCAGCTGCCCTTATTGTGTGAAAAATACTACTTCAGCAAAACAGGTCGCCATTTAAATGGGACGCTGAAGGAAGATCTGTACAATATTGACGACTACAAACAAGTGTGGCTGCTTGTTCATTGCAGCACGTGTGGGTGCAGGCCAAAGTTTTCAAATTGCACTATATATGCAACACGCAGGAATGCGCAGAACATGCGAGATCATTGAGGCAGGAAACATATGTTCATTAAATAATGATCGTGATAGCACCCATTATGTTGTGCTCACTGATAATGAAAAGTTGCTTGGCAGTGGGATGTACCTGGGCAATATTAGTATTTTTCACGCAAGACTGGTGCAGGCTGGTGAGTTCATAAAAGCAAAGACTTTCTCAAGAGATAAATTGTCAACAGTTCAGCACCCTGTTTCGTATATATATATATATATCTTCTATCCCCGCCTGTCATATGCACTTCTAAGCACTCTCTATCATGTTCCACGAACTCGCCCAAATCCTACTGTCTCTTAATTATCATTGCATGTTTGCACCTCCCTTGGTTTCACTCCTGCTCAACGCCGCGGTGAGCGCCAGCGCCTACGTCGCCGCCAGTGTTAGCGTTAGCGTCTACTGCTTCCCATCTACACATGGTGTCCTTTAGGGGAACGTGCCGTCAATTTTAGTTCACTTTTGTTGGAAAAGCCTAATAAAGCTTCTGCCAGGAACTGCCCTTTACTAACTTTGTGCCACTATGTTATTGCATAACGTTGTAAGCTGAGGCATGAGGGAGGTTAAGAGATTAAGAAGTTTGCGGGTATAAATTGGCAGCAGCAAGCACAGGACCGAGTTGAGTGGCGGAACATGGGAGTGGCTTTGTCCTGCAGTGGATGTAGGCTGCTGCTGCTAATGATGATGATGATGATGATGATGATGATGATGATGATGATGATGATGTAGGCTGAGGCACATGGCTGCAAACGGAGAAGGTGTTGATGCAAAGGCTTGCTGAATATTAGTACGAAAGCTGGGGATCTGATTTGATGATGTCGTCCACCTGGCTGAACTTCATGAAACTTAGCGCATCCATGAACTATTGTATCGTTTCTTTTTCAATTGGCGCATAGCATTGTGGCACTACTGTAAGGGATCATCAGCAATAGGTGACAGGATAGCCACCTTGCAGTAATGCAGCTTCAACGCCTTACTGATCGGCATCGAAAGAAAGCACCACTGCTTTCTTTAAATTGAAAAATAAAACCGAAATCGGCGCTGGCGTTAGTGCGCGCCGCAGTGCTGCAAAACTGGCTGGTCTCTCTGTCCAAATGACGCTTTATGTTTTTGCAGTTGCGGTTTAGTAATGACGAACATGTTGGGGTTGAAACGCTGAATGAAGTCAATTGTTCCTCGAAAAGTTTGCAGTTGCTTACAATTCTTGGGCTCGTGTATTTCCAGAATTCCTTGAACGCGCTCTGAGTTTTTATGTGAACCTTGTAATCGTGTCGATGTGTCCCCAGTGGCGAACCACATTCATAAGAAGGTGCACATTCTTAGGTGAAGTGAGAGGTTATGCTTGCGGCAGCGTGTCAACCAAAGTTTCAGGTTTAAGATAGCTTTCTTCTTTTTTTTTTTTTGCCCTGACCAGTGTATCAACCATAACTATCGTGACATTGAGCAGGTCGTGCATTATTCAGCGAATCGCAGCTTGAAAAGTTTATGGGGCTGATCAGTGTACCAAAGGGCATTCTTAGGGATAGATACCGCCCGTAAGGCATACCCATACTGCAGATATTGGGACTTTCCTTCGGTAATTTGATTTGCCAAAATCCAGATGCCGCATTTATGTTAAAAAAAGTCAATTGGGACAGCCATGGAAAGACGTCTTCTGAAAGTTAGCATTGGGCAGTTTTCTCGAAGGAACGCACTGTTCAGAGCCGTTGAATAAAGGCAAATGGATACTTTGTCTTGTTTTTTTTTTTTTGACCACGGTGAGCATGTGGCTGGACTATTTGGTAGGTTCATTTATCTTTGTAATGACGTTCTGCTACTCCATGCACTGCACGTCCGCCAGCACTGGCTCACATTGTCACAGTAGCACTCCTAGCCGGCACGATGGTTACCGGGATGCTGGGTTTCAGCTACATTTACCCCTTCCCATCATTTCGTTGACAGAGTCCCCTGAAAGTATCAGCAAAAGGTTAGGCTGCAGGATTTAGTTGTCCGCCATAAACTTTTTGTACGCGGCATATAAATCTCAGTCGTCCTGCGACTGTCAAGTTCAGTGTAACTGCGACATCTTGAAGGACAAAAAAGTGTTTTTCGCATTTGTTGCTACTAACGCAGAGTGGAAACGCCTGTTAATCTTAAAAATGAACGAAACATCGCTTCTACAATCTGAAGAATTTCGGCACTTGCAATTCACATAAAACACCGCAAAATGCCTTTCCCGTCAATGTGAGGTGACCCTCACAAGTTTTCGCTGTAGAGTTCCTCTGTTAAATTTTTATCTCAGCAAATCAGGATTTTCATTAACTAACCTATGTATAGTTTGCAATGAACCGGAAACAATAGATAACTTTCTTCTCACATGCCGCCGCTTTGCCTCACTGCGTCGAATAATTCTTGAAAGACTGATTGGTATGCTCGGATTGCCAGTCAATACATTCATCCTATTATCTTTTGGAGCCAGTCAGTTGGGTGTGGGCCACAGTGCTATTCTGTCAGCGCTACATAAATTCATTCAGGCAACCGGAAGGATACGCTGCTAGTGGTACTGCCAGATATATCCAATTCCTTCTCCCCCTTCCTCATTCTTGTTAATTTGTTTTATATTCTGGTTTATCGCATTCTTCTGCAATTTTTCCACGTTTTTTTAAAGGAACATTATTATTGTTCCTATCTAATTTCTCTTTATTATTTTTAGCAAGCGTTGTAAAAAATGATCTATTATGAGGTACAGTGTAGCCAATCCCCCATGTGGGTATGAGCCAAGATCTCCTAGGAGACAAGACAAGACAAGACAAGTTACACTTCTGTCATATCCTGATGATGAAAGAACGCTGTCAGTGACATGTTACGAGGTTTTTTGAACTTCTCAGACACTCTTGCTAAGTCTAGTTATAAGATTCTGCAACAGTTTCCTTCCGTGTCCAGCTTCCAAGTCACCGCTTGATCTTCAATGTGAAATATGGCTGTCTATAATCGACTTTGACCGAGTTGATATTAAGCCCAGTGAGACAAAAATTGCTGCCGCAAAGTACGTCTCTGGCCGTATACTTCCTGCAGCTACTTTCTTTGTCAGCTTCTGTTTCGTGTGGCCAGAAATGATTTCCAAACCTGCGCATAGTGGTTTGGTGTCCTCCACATGCGGCAGCTCTTTCCCCGTGCTGTGTAGTTTCTGCTGCATCTGGTAGCCGCAAATGCTGCTTCTCTATAAGTTGCAACGGAGTTCAAAATCGTTCTGTGTGCTTCTCCGGCTGCAGCGCTTATTTCTTTGAAGTGCTGATTTCTTTGCTCATCAGTATGGCATGTTTATACAGTTTTTTTTTTGTACGAAGAATTTTCTGCCAACAGTTTATGGTGCAACAGCTTATCTCTAAGGACTAGAAAAATGCTACTGCCTCTTATTCATTTTTATAAGATCAAATTGGCAGCTCCTTCCTTGTGTATTCATCTAAATAAACCATTCATTTATCATCTCATCATCTTATTAGTCCCTTGAGCCACATCGGAATTCGTGCAGCGTTTAGGTTTTCACTGGCCTATAGTAGCACTAAAATTTTTTCGCATAACTTAGGCACCATTTTTGTCCTTTTCCACCCGAAACTAGAAAGTCTTGTATTCTTTTTGCCTCGTTCGTCTATGCTGACTGAAAATGTTATGCCTGCACCTTGCTTGGCTGCCTGATCGAAAGAGTTTGTGGCAAACAGTTCAAACTTACTCTTCTATGCTCTCCAGCCAAGCCAGGCATCGACTGGCGTATCCATGAGCTTCGTCACCGGCAGTGGAGTTGATGGGCCTGGTAGCGTTGATAGAGACGGGGACGTTGTCGAGAATGGCATCGTCAGCACCTCAACTGTGGACTGTTGCCACCATGTGGGCGAATGTGAATGTAAACGACGAAGGTGAATGTAAACGAAGGTGAATGTAAACGAAGGTGAAACGAAGGCAGTCAGACGAAGGTGAATGTAAACTAGTAGCGTAACTTTCATAGAAGCCCATGCATCCAGTGTAATCGTCGTCATTTATCTATGGAGAAGACAACTAAAAACAAGCAAAAAATAAAAACTATGACATCACAACCGCAAGCGATAGCGACGTCAGGAATCTTTCCTACACGGCGCAAAATGAAGTTTTTTTCTTTATTGCGGACCTCTTACATATCGTGATAAATACGCGATTCTATTGCACTTTATGGCTCGCTAATTGCGTGCACGAGAGAAAGGGAAGAATAACACAAAGATTTAAGG